CACATTATCTTACTGATTGTGAAAACTACCCTTTGAGATAGGAATGATTATTTTCCATTTTATGTATCAAGTATTCTGAGAATCAGAACATTTCAAAGTCTAATGTAGATATTGTGGGACTAAGTATTATGAGGAAGAGATTCAGGCTTATATATTTCCCACTTCAGTTACAAAGCAGTGATTCCAGTCTAGGACAATGTGTCCACATTGGTAGAAGATGGGTAGAAGATGGGTAATGGGAAGGTATAGTAAAACCTGCGAAAGCCAGAACCTGTGTAAGGCAGAAACTTGTCGGAGAAGGAAAACTCAAATATTTTCCACTAAAACAACCAATATAAAAGTGGAAGCACTGAATCCTGTCAAAGGTGGAAAACTTGTGAAACCCAGAAAAGCAAGGTAGTCCCTTTGAAGTTCCAGCTCTCAGAGGTTTCACTGTAACAGAAAAGTCATGTGTAACCTGCTGGTTGACTGTATAGCTGTTTCTAAAGCAGGTTTTGCAGTCTAGGGAATATCTGCATTTGGTGGATGTAAGTTTTGCTAGTACTCTATAGCTCTGTGCTCAAAAACTAGCTGTAAATCTCTTGGCTCATAAGGAAATTATTATTTATAAATTTTTTTTTTTTTTACTATGGAAAACTAAATTAATCCTACCCGATAAGTCATGTGACTTGCAGCCAGCACATTTTCTGCATATGAAGCCAGAATCTAAACCATTTCTCAAGCAAAAATAAGTTAATATTAACTATTTTGACTTCATATCCTGGTCATGACATATATCTGGTTATCAGTTTAGGGTGAAGCAGAGACCCACACAATTTGGTATCCATGTTATTACTAATCTGGATATTGACTGAAGTTAGTTAAACTTTCTTTTATCAGATACCAGAGTTTAAGGAAGTTCTGCTTATAGATAACAAATATCTGAAGGGACAAAGTGAGAAAGATCTTTAAGAAAACAGAGGGCATAAATAAAACATTTGGTAATTCAAACAGGCTATATTCTTTCTTCTCTAAAGGTAATTTGTTTTTAAGAATTCATTTCCCAACTGAACCCTATTACTTGTTAGGCATTAGGCTAGGTGCTGGAAATACAAAGATGAGTAAGAACATTCTGACTCTGCAGGATTCCACTGTCTAGTTGGAAGACATATGTAAGCTGCTAATTACAATGCAAGGAGGTTAGCACCATAATGGAGGTGTGACTCTAGAGCTGTAGGAGAGGCAACCCCTGGAAAGGCTTTACTCATCTTTCTCCTGGTCAAATGAGCATTTGCTTCCTACTTGAACAAGAAATGCCCCTGATGTTTTTCTTTTTTTAAAACTTTTTGTTCTAGCTTTCCTTAATGTTAACATCTTATACAACCATAGTACGATTATCAAAACTAAGAAATTAGCATTGGTACAATATTGCAGTTGATATTTCTCTTTCGTCTCCTCCAATCTGTGACAATTCCTTCATCTTTCTTTGTCTTTCAAGACCTTGACACATTTGAAGATACCTGATCAGCTATTTTGTAGAATGTCTCTCCGTTTGGATTTATTTCTTATTTTCTCACAACTTGACTGAGGTTATGGACTTTGGGAGAAGAATGCCACAAAAGTGATGTGTCCTAAAGTGTGTTATGTCAGGGGGTACATGATGTCAATATGTTTTACTACTGTGATGTTAATCTTGATCACTTGTTTAAGGTAGTGTCTGCCGGCTTATTCCACTGTAAAGCTATTATTTTTCCTTTTATAATTAATGAATATTTGGGGGGAATACCTAATGTTCTGACTAAAGACATTATTCAGAGCTTCTTTCTTAAAAGTCTTATCGATGACACAGAATCATTAAATAGTCCAAAACCATAGTATTATGAGCCTAGAAATGTTCATGTTTACATGAAGAGCATCTGTTAGGTCAATGTGTCTATGCTTTAAATGAATGCTCTATTAAAGTCTTCAGACTCACATTTTCCAGGGTGAAAGAGAACAAAGAGAGACAAATGAAGGTATCTATTGATGACTGGGGCATATGTGGAGTGTGTCACAAACACACTGAGTATATCTCAATTCCTGACTACTACACCATTTGCATTTAGAGAATCACTAATCCTAAAACTGGGAGCATAAATACTCCCAGAATCTGCATCTGTAATACGTGCAAAAGACACTTATGTGCAAGGGCTCCTCTAAGTGAAATGACCACCCCGTTTAAATCAGGGTTTACCTCCCAGCTGAAGACTGGAGCTCAGAATGAAATATCAGGCTTTGGTGCTAGAATGATATAATTGAGGAGGAAATTTCATGGAAAATATTTCTCTGTGAAATTCTGGGGTAGGAATAGTGGGAAACACTGATCTAACAGTGAGTATAAAGAAAAGATAGTAGGTTTATTAGTTAGCTATGAACATTCCTACTATAGAAATAGTCACAAGAAAAAAAACAGGTATGGAATTTTGTAGGACAAAGTTTGCTATGCAAAGTAAACTCTCATGACAGGGTATAGTGATAGGCTATCATTAGGTTATAGAGAAAGAGCAGGATAACTTCTTACAGAACATGGGTTCACAGACGTGGTAAATGTTGCCAAATTTAATTATGCTAAGTATCCTATTTGACAAAAATTTTGGAAGCTTAAAGAAAATGTTAACAGTGGCTATCCCCTGGGGAATTGTTATGGAGTCTTTTACTTTTTCATTTACAGTTTTGTACTACTGGATTTTATTTATGTATTATTTACCATGATTTGGTACTACTTTTAAATTGTAAATAAATAAATCATAAAAAATTTTTTAAATCCTTTTTCTAAAAAAAAATCAATGCCTTGCCATAAAGTGAAATGAAGGGAAGACTATATTAAATTCAACTCAATAAAGGTTACTGGAGTATCCAAAAACATCATTTAAAAGGTAATTATTCTACTATAAAAGCTTGAGAAAGGCATTCTAAGCTTATATTAGCCTCAGTGGATACCAGATCATGAGAGATGTTGGATGTTTGACCACTACATAGATAATCAGAGACTTCCTGTTCAGAAGGAGTTTATAGTTTAACCAAAGATTAAGAAGACAGTTGAGTTTGAGTCATTTAAAATCCTGCTCCAATTTTTAAAAATTGGAGGGAGAAAAGGGGCCAAAGTAAAATTAGGTTTCTTTGCTATGAAAAGGAACTAATTGATAGGAATGGTATTTCACTGAGTGGTTGAAACATGTCGTTTACATAATTATTTGATATATAGTAAACTAGAGTATTCATGAAAAGAGTCAAAAGGGAAAATATTTTTCCAAAAGTATTGTAGGTATTTAAGAAAAGGGATCCGTGAGGTTTACTCAGGCTCCCTTAACACAAGGACTCCTGAGACTTACCTTCTCACCCAACACCTTGTGAACTCACCCCCTCTCCACACGGAAAATAATGAGGGCCTGTAGTCGCTTCAGAAGACCAAGTGAGCTGCTGTTCAGTGCGTAACTGCACAAATAACGCCCAATTTTGACCAATTAAATGGTAGGTCAACATAGGAACAGGAGGCCTGGTGGCACATTGGTTAAGCACTAACCGCTACCCAAAGGTCTGCCGTTCCAACCCACAGGTCTCTCTCTGCGGGAGTAAGATGGAGGAGTCGGCTTCCTTAAAGATTTACAGCCTTGGAAACCCCACGGGGCGGTTCTACTCTGTTCTATAGGGTCGCTATGAGTCGGAATAAACTTCAGGGCAGTGAGAAACATAGGAACAGGATACAGCTCCTCTCGAAAAAATTAAAAAAAAAAAAAAAAAAAAGCCAGTATTTCACAAATGTTACCCCGGAAGAAGCACATTCATCAGTTTTTTCCAGTTTTCCTTTTTTTAATGTAAGATTCCCCAAAGATATTTTAATTACAAGTATTTGTTCATTTTTCTTTTAACAATTTAATTGCTATGCTGTATTTAAATTTCTTTAATTTTGTAGTGCTCTTAATTTTTTAACAATGATACGGATTAAGAAAATAAAATACGGTTGCATTGTCTCAGTAATAAGTATGGACAGCTTTGAAAAGATAACGTTTGCTTTATTGATATGTTGGAGGAAAAATGCTATATAAATTTATTAAACAATTAAGCTCTAGGTAAAACAGTGCTTGCTTCTGATTTCTTAGAGCTCTTTTGTTTGATTCGCCATTAAGCTTATATTAGGTTTGAAACAAGATCTGCTCCGCAGATAATAATGCGTGACGTAGTAATGAAAGAAAAAAATAATAATTCTAGAAATACCTAGGGAAAAACTTTTAATGATTCTTGTGCAAACAATGTGGCTTATTTAAGCTCTTAAAAGTCTCTTACACCAGGTGGTTCCTCATTTCCCCCGCAGGACTTAGAGCCGTTCCACCGAGGTTTCACCTGTCCTCCTCCCCCTCCAACTGCCGAAGTTTCCTTTCTGAAGCGCGAAGGCAGCGTTGCTCTGGGAGTGAATTCCTCAACTGGCTTTTCCTGGCTGTTGGGCTCTACCTGACCACCCCTGACACCTCTCAGGCCTCGGGCTCATAGCGCCCCCATCCCCTCCGCCAGGTATCGACCCGGCCAGGCTCCCCCTCCCCCAGGAGGTCGTGGTCCTGGCGCAAGCCTCCCTCGGGCCGGCAGGGGAGGGGCTGAGCCACTACCACAGCAGCAGCCTCAGCCTTTGCAGCCTGATTATCACATGACTCGACGGCGGCGGTAGCCGTGGTAGGAGCCGCGGCGGCTCAGCTGGCTCAGCCGGTGGGCTCAGTTCCACGCACGCAGGAGCCGGGCCCAGGGGGCGGGGAAGGGACCTGCTGCTGCTGCGGTCGCCCCGCCGCTCCCAGAGCGCCTGGCGTTTTCCACGGCCCAGCTTGCCCGCTCCATGCCTCTCGGTTGCGGAAGTGTAGCGGGGGGAGGCGGCGGCCCCGAGCGCGGGAGGCCAGGGCTCTGCCCCCTGCAGCACTAAGCTCTGGGAGCCGGGTGCGGCGCGTCCCAGCTGCCCCGCTGCCCGTTGCGCCCGGCGCCCGCCGCTGCCTGCATGCCCCGCGCTGCGCCTCGCCCGGCCCCCGCCGCCGTCTCCTGCTCGCACCGCTGCTGCCGGGCGCCGGAGTAATATGCTCACTCGAGTGAAATCTGCCGTGGCCAATTTCATGGGCGGCATCATGGCTGGCAGCTCAGGCTCCGAGCACGGCGGCGGCGGCTGCGGAGGCTCGGACCTGCCCCTGCGCTTCCGCTACGGGCGGCCTGAGTTCCTGGGGTTGTCTCAGGACGAGGTGGAGTGCAGCGCCGATCACATCGCCCGTCCCATCCTCATCCTCAAGGAGACCCGGCGGCTGCCCTGGGCCACTGGCTACGCAGAGTGAGTGCAGCGACACCGGCGTCGCCCGTACTCTCCTCGCGGCCCTTCTCCGCACGGTTCCAGCCGTCCTCTCTCCCTGCTTCTCGGCCTCAGTGCTCTCCGGGGTTGCCGGCGTCCAGGCCTCGGCGGGGTCCTTTTTACTTACATTGGCCATTTCCCTCTTCTCCCCACTTCCCCTCCCCCCAGCCTCTAGGACGCGGCGACTGTAGCCCCGGAGTGGGTGGTGGAGGAGTGGGCAGCTGCCGGACCGTGGGAAAGCTAAGGCTGGAGGGTCTGGGGATTCGGGCGCTTTGACTCTTGGAGGAAAGTGGGGAAAACAGCTCTGCTGAAGTTTGAAACACAGCAGGGAAATCAGATATCTGCGCCCCCTCCCCCAAATCTCAGTGCCTACGCGTGAAGAGTTCGAGGGGTGGAGGATTGGAGGAGCTGTCGCTGCGACTGGGGGAACGGGTGTCCGAGCCCTGGGGGTGGCAGCGTTCGCGTGCGCGGTTGTGTGTTTCAGAAGCTCTCGGTTTTCTGACGTCCAGGCTACGAATCCATTCGCTGCTGCTTTAGCAGGTAGTGAAACCCTGCTCTTCGGTAAATGTCAGTACTATTTCCCTCGGTCCTTGGGGAGGGGGGATTTTATTCCAAGTGTTTTAATGATACCATCTTGGTAATCAGCTTTGGCGATTAAGCCGGCGTTTGAATGATTTGCTATTTTAAGACACGACTGACGACCTGAGGTGGAGCTGGAAAAGAAGGGAGGGAGGGTTTTAATATCCTACCCCCATTCCACGGCCACTTCTCCATTGACTATCAATGGCCATCTTATGAATGGTAGGATAAGTAATGTTTTCCGACTGTTAGACCTATTATTTCAGTTTTATGAAACTAGGAAACTCGGAAGATGGGATTCAGGACATCAGAGTTCGGGGTTAATAATGACCAGGTGGGTGCAAAAGAACACGAAAACCCCTGGTGCCTGGAACACCTGCCCCTTTTACTTAACTCATCCCCTCTGTGAACCTGGCACTCTCTAACCAGTGCACGTTCTCGCTCTCTGATTGGCTCTTTCGGGAACCAATCAGCTCTCCCGACGTCCGGACGCTTTGATGCCGACCCTGTTCTGGTGGCCCGGATACCCCCGGGTGTGCAAGGTTCCCGACGCTCCGGTTCCGGTGGAAGACTCCCTAGACTCTCCAATTCTTTTATCATCATTTAGCCGCGCATCATTTAGCCATTTCTTTAAGGGCTGAAATAGAAAATATGCATAAATGGGGACAAACGATAGGAGATAGTGTGGAAGATAGCAAGGAAACAAGTGAGCGTTATGGGTGCGGAAACAGTAAAAATTAACGCTTAACAAAAGACGAGCCGAGGAAGCGAATGCTGGGGAGGGGCAGGTACAAAATAGCATTGTAACTTCCAAGATAAAGCCGAAGCAAAAGTAAACACCTGTGTAAGAAAAGACCTAGAGGAGAAAACGTATGCCAAAACACAAGGCACTGTTTCTTGACTGAAAGAAAAACATTGTTGAAACAGCCCATTTGGACCCTTTGCAAGACAAAAAGTAACTTGAAGGCATGCCCCGTCCCACAGTTACATAAATTGGGCCTTGCCCGCTAAAACACTGAATGTGTAGGGGCCTGTTGTTACACGCCAGTGGGTTGCCCAGGGGCAGGAAGACAAGCAGGCAAATGGTGAAAATTTGTGAGAGGTAGGAGGGGAGGTAAGTACACACTGAAAGTGGAAGCTATTTGGATACAGTAAAAGGAAAATCACAGGTAAGTGGGAAGGAAGGGAAAAAAACCACACGCATGCAGTGTTTGGATGCTTATGGTGGGCACATGATTTGCCAAAGGCTGTGAACAATATAAGCGAATCTGAAATGAGACGTGTAGGAGGGGTGATGCTTAGTGGTCCTACCTCATTCTCTGTGGGTCTCAGTTTCCTCATAAGAAGCTTCTCGACCAGGACATGAGAAATGTCTGACTGGAAGGCTAGTAGGGACATTGTAAAATGTTTGAATCTCACTGCCGAATGTTTACGTATTTTCAGTTAGTTATAAAAGTTACGTGTTCGTTAATTCAAGCAAAGGTGTGTGTAAAAGTGTAAGCACCGTCCCCCTCCCCCCCCACTCTAGGGGTATGACAGGTCAATGTTTGGATGATGTATACCTTTCCAAGACTCTTTGAATTTTCATGTGAGTTACTATTTCCTTTCCACCTCGGCTGGGCTCATACTAAGCATACGATTCTGTAGCATTTTCACACAGCACTGTGCGGTGAACAACATTCCAAGTCAGCACGCGTAGAATTACATCATTCTTTTAAAATGTCTCCATAGCGCTAATAATAGCTAACATATTTAGTGCTTATTGTTTAGTGCTTATGTTGTTTCAAACACTTTGTTTTATATAATTTGATTCTCACAACAGCCCTATGAGGAAGCACTATCATTTCCTTTTTATAGCTGAGGACACTAAGTCAACAGTAAAGCAACCTGCTCAGGGTCATACAATCTGAGCAGAGTCAGGCAGTCTGATACTGGAGCCCACACCACCAAACTACTTCCCTTCAATGTATTAATTTATGTGCATCTATCTGTACCCAGGATTAGCCACTAGCATTGCCTGACCACCTCTCATCACCCCATTTCTGTCAAATGTTGTATTATACTACTTCCTTAAACCTTCAACTGTAGTTTATCTTCCTGCAAAAAATATATCCTGAATGATCAAAATGGGTGAAACAGGGAAGAGGTAAGACAAGTAGAAACGTGCTATGATGAGAAGATACTAGTGATACTGACCCCCGCTACAGGATCTGCATCACAACAGTGTTAGTTATCTGTTACTCATAACAAAGTACCCCCAAACTTAGCAGCTTAAAACAATAAACATATACCTCACACAGTTTCTTAGGGTCAGGAACTCATAAGTGCCTTAGCTGGGTGGCTGTGACTCAGGGTCTTGTGTGAGGTTGAAATCAAGGAGTCAGTGAGGCTGCAGTCATCTGAAGGCTTGCCTGGGGCTAGAGAATTCTTTCCTAGAAGGCTTCCTCACCTGACTATTGATTGACAGGAGGCCTCAGGGCTGGATGGGGTGGGGTGGGGGGGAGTGGAAAGTTCCTTGCCACATGGACCTTCCCATAGGACAACTTGAGTGTCCTGACGACATGGCAGCTGGCATCCCCCAGATTGAGGAATCAGAGAGCAAGTAGGAAACTGTAAGTGCCTTTAATGATCTAGACTCAGAAGTTACACATGGTCACCTTCGCCATATTCTTTTTGTTAGAAGCAAGTCACTAAGTCCAGCTATTTAAGGGTAGGAGAATAAAGTTCTGTCTCCTGAAATGAGGATTATTCAGATAATTTGTGGACATATTTTAAAACCATCACAGTCACTTTTTGGTGCCATTGCTACACAGGAGACGAGGAGGGACAGGATACTTTGTGGAGACCCTTCTTTCTACAGGCTATGAAAATCATTTTTCAAAAGTTTAACATATATCTCTAACCCTTGGTTAGGAGCTCTAGTGGTGCAGTGGATAAGTGCTTGGCCGCTAACCCAAAGGTCGGCAGTTCAAACCCACCAGCTGCTTCTTGGGAGAAAGATGTGATAGTCTGTTTCAATAAAGATTACAGACTTGGAAACCCTATGGGGCAGTTCTACTCTGTCCTGTCGTGTTGCTTTGAGTTGGAATTGACTTGACAGCAATGAATTTGGTTTGGTTTAACCCTTGGTTTATGCTGGGTGGAGGAGGGGTGTCTGTGGGGCATAACATTCTGTCTTGTAGCAGTCTTCAAATATTTGTAGAACACCTACCTGAGAAAATAACTTGAATTTATTGTCTAAGGCTCAAGAGGGCAGAAATAAGAACATGAAAGTTGAAATGTTTAGAGAGTGTTATTGTAAATGAGATTTCTTCATTGGAAAGGAAGACAAACTAGATTTATTCGTTTAAATATTTATCGAGTAGTATGTACCAAACACTCTTCTAGATTCTGAGGAAACAGCCCCTTTGTAGTTTGGATTGTAGAGAGAGACAAACCTATAGTATGCCTGGTCATGATAAGTGCTATGGAGAAAACCATGGTCAGGGAATTGAGAGAACCCGGGTGGTGGTTTTATATGGGATGCTCAGGGAAGGCTGGTCTGATGGTGTGACATTTAAGCAGAGAATGAAGGAGGAATTTGGAGGAAGAGCCTACCAGGCAAAAGAAAAAACAAATGCAAAGGTCCCGAGGCAGGAGCATGCCTGGTGGGCTTGAAAATGAGTCAGGATGACAGCAGCTGAGAGGATGATGGAGAGATTGCCAAGAGGTATAATCTGACAATAGTGTATTGGGGGAGGGGAAGATTGTCCAGATTTTGTAGGATTTTATAGTGCAAAGAGAGGGCTTTGGCTTTTACTATGAGTGAGATAGGAAGCCCCAGGACTGTTCTGAGCAGACCTTTCAAACATGACCATGTCAAGTTGATAGGACGGAGTAGAACTGCCCCATAGGGTTTCCAAGGAGCTGCCACTAGATTGGAACTGCTGACCTTTTGGTTAGCAGCCTGAACTCTTAACCACTGCACCACCAATTCCCTTGCTAAGGGCTGTTTCTATTGGAAGGAGGAAGTTGTCCTCTATTGCTGTAGAAGGTACCTGAGAGTGATGGAGTAGATAGGAAGATTGGTCAGAGAGTGGTGCTAGTGAGTAGAGGCTGAATGAGAAGCGGTATGTTTACCTCTCTAGAATGTGAGTCACATTCCCAGCCTTCCTGAGGAGGAAGAATTGGCACAACTTGGTGATCGATTGAGGGATTGGAGAGAGGACAGTTGAATTCTAGTGTTGGTTTTCTAGGGGTCTGTTTTTGCCATTTAACTCTATTTTGTGTGTGTGTGTGTGTGTGGTTAGAGTGAAAGTTTACAGTTCAAGTCAGTGTCTCATACAAAAATGTATACACACATTGCAGTGTGACCCTAGCTTCTCTCCCTATAATGTGACAGCATACTCTTCCTTTCCACCTGG